CCCCAAAACCCCAAAACCCCAAAACCCCAAAACCCCAAAACCCCTTTTAACATATCTAAAATTGAAAGCTAATCATCAAGAATTAACTCTCTGTTCCCCAAAGCAGAAGAGAACCAGATCTCTTTGATCACTGGTAGATCTCTGTTCTTGGCAGTTCTGGGGTTGACCCCATTTTTGAGTCATTTTTCTAATCTTGAGATCACAAGTTCATTCTCGTAACCGAGACATCTGTTTTTCTCGAAAATATTTTGAATTTTCTCAGCATACAGTTGAGTGAAATGGTTGGAATAGTCATATGACTTGCCTCTTACCATCTTCTCGAGGAGTGTCATGTAATCACTTTCCACGACAGATCCGAAGCCATGAGGGTCGAAAAAGGTTCACCAAAATTTAACTCCGTCGTCTTTATAAGTAGATTTCTCAAGCATACAATAAAGAGTCACATAATGTTCCCAGTTTAAAGTTGTATGAGGGCTATCAGCATCTAGTCCTAGTGCTGTAATAATTCTCTTCTTGATCTCAGGTAGAATCCCTTTAATAAATGTTGCATTATCAAAGAAGAACTGTCAGGTGATCCCTTTCTGCTCTTGAATTAATCCGAAATCAATAGGAGTACGCTTCGAGCTAGGTCCTTCATTCTCTGCCATCGAAGATTTGTTCTCTTGCATATAAAGCATTGAATCAAACTCTGAATTAAGAGTGTAGACTTCATGTCTTTCTAAGTTAAACTCTTCCCGAATCCTCTTGATTTCATCGTAATTCATGGAGTTTTTCTTGTAAACGGTCATTCTTTCTTGAAAAGAGGCTCGTCTAATTCTTTTGCTTCTATTAGCAACTAATTTATTGCCAAAAGTGGTCCTGTTGACCTTCTTAGGCCCTACAGGTCTGAACCTCTTTGAAGCAGAGGAGGAGGGCTTTGAGAAATATTTTCTAAAATTCGAATCCTGGTTATAAGTTGTACTAAGGGGATTTGAAGTATTTGTATATGGCATAAAGTCCATTCCAGTCTTATTCATCTTCTCATTCCCTCTTCTATTATGTTAGCAGCTAGATTACATTTGGCTTCTCTTGCTATTTCTTTTAAGGAGAAAATTGTTATTAATTCTTCGATTGAACATCTTATTTCTCCTGTTCATAGAGTATGGAGATGTATCCTCATTCAAGAAGGAAGTATCATCAAGATCATGATCATGAGATATATTTGGAGTCTTATTTCTTCATTGCCATCATCTTAGAAATCGCAAATCTATTAGCATAAACTCTATAATGATGGTTATGAACCGTCTTGTGAACTGTTTTAGAATAAATTACTTACTTTGATCCAATTTTAGGCATGTAAGATCTCTTAGCATTCAAATTAATGTTGTACTTTTCCCCTGGCTTATGCTCTAACTGCTCTTCATAAAGTCTGTTCTCCAAGAAAGTTACTAGTTTGCTATCAATCATTCCTATTTTTAAAATTTTATTGTTGAGCATTCTTGGGGTTTTGGGGTTTTGGGGTTTTGGGGTTTTGGGGTTTTGGGG